CAACAAATAAAGTGTCGTCATAAATTACATGTACGTATATCAAAAAGACACAAAAATACTCTTCAAGTTGTCATTTATCTAAATCTATCAACATATATAATACCTTGATTTTTCACCAATAACCATCATGTATGAGGAAAATAACTACTCTACATGAGTGCAAAACATGATCAGAAACCATGGAAAGCAGAGGGTAAAGAAATAGCTGAAGTGAATAAGGCAATAATTTACTCTATCCATATTGTTCAAAATACCCATATGCCGTTGTGAATGTAAAGAACATATCATATATAACAGAGATTAAGGCATTGATTGTCTCGGAGTGTTAAACATAACTTTGCAATGCATCATATATCCAAGACAACTATTTCTCCTCTGTATTATCAAAAGTTTACGGAAGCCCTGAGAAACATGTCCAAAAATAACTTTTAATGCGTTTCAGTCCGATCCTAATAGTTTTGTCTCCATATATATATCTACAGTATATTAGTTCCTTCATTTTTCTACTCTTGTGCTGAAGTCATAAACACAGGAGGATATTTAGATCTGCCTTATTTTTCCTCACTTAACTTTTAGGGCTTCCGTAACAACCATGAACACAAAATAAAAGCAAACATGTATCAATAAGTAATTTCATAAATATATTTTTTTTATCTATCTTCTTTTATGTTTTCATAAAAATTAAGTGCAGCTACTTATATTTGGCTCACTGGGCGTCATTGATCGTTTTGGCACTGTGTGTGATACATACAGTAACTTACTGTTGTACCGACAGAACACCAAATCCATCAAAAACGTCTTCTTTATTCCTTTTTTTAATTAAACTAAGGCGTCGAGGACTTCCATTTACAGATGTCTACTCTACAAAAAGTTAAGCCCTCTGATACAGAGCTGCCTTTCTTCTGTTACAGAACAAAAATATAATAGGTACAACATTTATTGAGTCAGATAACACTTTTGTCAGTCAAGAAGGCTCTTGGACTAGGTCTTCAACAAAGACCTGAAACTACAATACTTCACAAGCAATGGGACTAAATAAATAAACATCATGTGCGCCCAATTAATGTGAGAGTAAAAAGAGGGACACTGCAATCCTTAAAGTTGTTCCATCTCAATAAATAACATACATGCTGACTGCCAAGCAGAAAACAGATACTATTTTTTGCTTTTCATGAAAGACTGTCATTGCTATTAAACATCAAATGTTGTCATTAGTTATAGTCACTCTCCCAAGTGATGAAAATAAGGACATCAGATGCATTTTTCCTTCCTTTCCATCCAGCCCAAATGTGTGAGAAATCAAAAAGCATGTCGCTCCCGGTCACTCCTTTCTGTGAGTACAAATCCGCCCGAGTACTGTCAATCACGCTTGGCTAAGTTAATCAACCTGAGGGGCACATGTCAGTCATGACAGCAAAGGCAGTCGGTTTGAAGGCTTATTTTTACCTTTAAAACTCTGCTTAGCTGGGTCAATAAGTCTTTCTAAATGGTGCGCAAATACCACACGTGAAACACAGACAAAGTCTCACATAGTCACATAGCTTTATCTTTCATTGGCCATTATGCTTCAAGGCAATGTAAACCTGAGCCAAGCTGTGCAGTCTGCTGTACGTTTCCATCTGTAATACAATTTGGGGACTGTTAGTTTTGGTTAGGCTAGTTTATAGTGCTACATAGAGTGTGAACGCATCAACCTGTCACTAAATCGGCAAACAGCCATTTTCTATTCTTTCCTTTCTTTCATTTAAAAAATACAATGTAAACATTACAGAAGCCCTGACTGGCAAGTTAGAAAAAAAAGATTCTGCTCCAGGAAAGTCTTTCTAGGGTGTTCTTTTCATCCGTGAAACAGGTGGGAAAAGGTTTAATTATTTACATATGATGAAAAAGTATCTAGGCGAAACAAAAATCACCTCTTCTTAAGACATAAACACAGGAGAGAAAACCCTTTAGCTATAGACATTAGAAAACGGATCATTAGTATTTTTTCTCACTTGCCTCTCAGGGCTTCCGTAGAATGTATGTTAGACGTAATGTAAAACTAAATCCTTATGTCTTATATCAGACTTAAAGCTACCATGTCAGAATAATGAGGCTAACTGGCCGTTCATCTTGGGTGAGCACATCTGTCTCTTCCGGTGGATGTGAAATCTCCCGTTTCTCATTGTCCTCACAAGTTCACTGCACTGATCTGCCGTTCTGGAGTTTCAGTATGCAAGCACAGTGGTATTCCAGGGTGCCGGGGATTTGCCCTCTGTCTGTAGTCGCTTTCTTTTGGCTTGTCAGACCAAATTCAAGCAGACATGTACAGGGACAAGCACTATTTCTTCTGTTCTTAATCGGCGATAAATCAGCCTCATATTTCCCTGACAGTTGCCGGGTCACTCTGCAGTTGCTATGCTGTTGACTTGGTTCTCGTGTCCGCGCCCCGATGCGTTCAAAGAGCTCCGCTTCAGCAGCCTGTTGATGATGTCAGTGCACGTCTTCCTGTATTGGTGTCGGAGCAGTGAGTACACAAAGGGGTCGCAGGCTGCCTTGCTGTAAGCTAAGCACTTGGAAACAATTCCCCAGTGAGGGTTGATAGGCACCGCTGGAAATAACTCCACGATCCTGCAGGCATACATAAAGGGAGGGTGGTGAGAGAAGGGGAGCAAAGGTTGAAAATGCATGCATGCCCTGAGCTCATCATGAAGACATAGAAATACATTTGCAAGACATTGTTGCACATAAGCAGGGTGTTTCTACTTGTCTCCTGCGTTTGGATTTACAGCGTGAAGCTTCTTATCATCTCACCACTCACATGCAGCCAGCAGCATATATCTGTCAGGGCCACCGGAAGAATAAAACAGACCTGTCTAAGCAGTAATAAGTGTCTGGAAACAAGCCAATTAACTCTGATTGTTATTTAATACACTTTCAGACTGAGTGCTAAGCAGAAAACCATAAAGGACAGAGGACAGTGAGTTCTTTCAGCAGGGGTAAAAAAATACTCTTCTGTAATTAAAATACCGTATATTAGATTTAAAGTGGTAGGCCTACATAATGACGTTTTCTGAAGTCTGCATCCTAACGTGATCTCAGTCATACCCATAAAGACAGAAAATCGGTGCTTTCACACTCATTTTTGTCAAATATTAATACACCTTCCTGTACATGGTGTCATAAAAGGTGGTTAAGATATCGCTGATCCTTTTCCGCTTGCACTCTGTATGATTACTGTGTCTACAATCAAGCTCTGTCAGCACTGTAACACTGGCCTAGCATGGGCCAGTAGCCATCACTGGCATTTGCCTACACACTCCGCAGCAGCAGAGCAAACAGCACGTTAAGTCAGCTGTGACGGCGCACAGCGGTGATTTTACACATAATGACCCAGACAACAAATGAGTATGCAGTGGAGGGGCTTTTAGCGTAATATGTTCAGATAGTAATTAGTCAACTGTCCTACGCAGAATGAAAGTAGCACAGTGCTGCTATGGTCGTTCATTACTGACAGCCTACTGATACCAAAACCATTAGAGTAGAAGAACAACTTGCAAACACTTGCAACGGACCAATTTAAAAATGTGTTTAAGACTTATAGAGAGGATAAAGAGAGTAATGTCTTCTGTATCATTTCATATCCAAACATACAGACATCCTCTCTAGCTCCGTCACCCCCAACGCCCTATGAGTGAATGGTTTTAAATAACATAGGCCTACAGTAGTACTAAATAATGGAATATTTTCTCTTTTGGTTGAGTAACACCATCTACATGACAAAACAAATGATCCATATGACATACTCTACTCTTCTCTACACTAAGTATTAAGTAATGTTTTAGTATGGAAAAGTGAGTAGCTGCTCATACTAAAACCAGACAGTATGAGGATGAGATACAGTCTGTTTTTGAGTGATGTACTCCCAGAAATGCATTGCCCAACAATTCATCTGCATGTTGGATCTTAGACTTGCAGTTTTCTTCAGAAGTTGTAGTTTTTTGGATGTATAAGCTTCACGTATTGGGTCCGTATTGGTTACCTGTTAGTACACAGATAGGTTTTCTGCTAAAATGATATGCTATAATGATGAGTATTAGATCAAAACTGTTTATAATTAGTTTGCACACATTTCCTGTTTCTGCAAAATATCAACTTATTGGCATTATAGTTACAGGAAATGAAACAATGCTTGTGACATTAGCTGTTAATCAATGTGTGAGTTCAGAAGGCCACTGCTAATTAAATACAAAAAGTAGCCAGGACTTAAAAATAGTTAACTTTACCATGATATTCTAAAGAAAGCAGTTTGTGTGTTTGTTGTAACTCAGGAGAACTGACACTTGAGGGTTACCAGAACATGTAAATTCCTGAATTTGTATAAATCCATATTATATTATACATATATATATTTTACTGTGATCCACATGTGTCTTGGATATTTTCCCATTCTAAGGTGTATATCAACCCCTACTCTATGTGTTGTTTTTATATTTTAAGGCACTTTGTATGATTTAATTTACAAAGTATAAATAGTTATATTTTGGTATTTCTTCTCACACGTCCACTCGCGCATCACTTATGTGCTTTACACTTAAGCTTCATGTGACAGCCTCTCTTTGTCGAGTGATTGATGGAAGTGAATTCCTCCTAACTAAGTGATGCACCCGAGCAACTTGAGGAGAAAAGTGCTAATGCAGCAGCAACAGCAGAGCAGAGGCATATTACTTATCACAAGGTCAGCCAATCTCATCTTCCAACTCTGGCCGTCGTGGAGAGTAAGCAGAGAGGAGGCAGTTAGGAGGAGGAGGAGGGGGGAGAGGATTTGACAGCAGAGGAGGGAGGTTTGGGGGATATACCAGCAGAACAAAAGAGGCTGCGTACGCCGCAGTGTGCCGGCATGGTTTCCCTCTCCCGCCTACACAGTTTCTTTCTCACCTTGTGATCACATAGGGAGCGAAGCAGATCATGAAGGTTCCGATGAAGGTGCTGATCTTCTTCGTCGCTCTCTGTCGTCTTCTCTTCTGCTCCTCCAGGCAACGCTGGCGAACACTATAAACACACAGAGAGTTCAGTGGATTAATATCAGGGAGACACACTGAGGGAAGACCACATACTGTCTCCAGAGATGTCATAAAAGATAGCAAGGAGTTGGTGCGCTTGTGTTTTATTTCTGTTGGACAGGGGTTAAATATATAGGAAGCTGAGCTGAGGGACAATAACATATTTATCCCAAAAAACACTGATGTCAATCAATGTAAAACAAGAAGGACAATTTCTAAAAGTGTACACCAGAGAACACCAGCTTATACAGTATATAACCGAACACACACACACACACACACACACACACACACACACACACACACACACACACACACACACACACACACACACACACACACACACACACACACACACACACACACACACATGCTCACACTATGCTGTATGTACACATTATGTTATATAGGCAGAGTAACGCAATCACCCTGGATTGCCTTTAAGTGGATACAGATGTTGCATTGCCTCTGAATACTGAGGACAAACTTCAGTGCAAGGATGGTAGTATTACATTTAGTCTTTTAAATTAATTAAATAAATAATCATGTATCTTAATACACTCACTAATCCCCCCACAGCTCCCCCTCCCCCTTTCGATAAGATGGTGGATAACGCTTTTTTCTAACTGAATCACGAAAAGAAAGCTGCATGTACAGGCAGAACACAAACAGGAACAATAAGTTAAGGGAGCTCACCTGGGGTGTATATCCACCAGCAGCACTAACGTTTGCATTGTAATAACGTCGATCCTCTTACAGTGAAACCTTGCGACTTTGAGCACTTTGAGGTAAGTGACACACAGCACTATAAAAGACAGGAGGAAGGAAAAGGAGTGGAAAAAGACGGTGAATATAACAAACGGTGTCCGGCTGCTCGCCCTCGGGTTGGACAACGTGCAGGACGCGTAAAGCCGGTGGTATCCCACCCAGGAGAGGCAGGTGGCCACCGTGGAGAAGGACACCGAGTGCACCCATGTGTACCCGAGGACCAAAGCTGCGTCTTTGTGGCGCATTTTGGAGTGGTACCTCAGGGGGAACACCACCGCAATCCACCTGTCGATGCTCAGAGCTGCCATGCTCAGCATCGAGTTGGTGGACAGGAATGTCTCCAGGAAGCCCACGATCTGACAGAAGCCGTCCCCTCCCGGCTGAGTCTTACTGACGAGTCCCACCAAAGTGAGCGGCATGTTGGACACTGTCAGCAACAAGTTGCAGAAGGTGAGATTGAGGTTGAACAGGCCGGGGACCTGCTTACGGATCTCCGGGTTGTACAGAAAGCAGATCAGCACCAGGACGTTGGAGAGCAACGATACTATGATAATCACAACCACCAACACAGACAGAATCACCTCCGCAGTGTCCATCCTGTGGGCCCCGAAACTCACTTATCCTCACTTTTTCTGAGCATATCCAGTGTTGTTCTCCAGCTGAAAATGCAATTAATCACCCATAACCATGTCCATTCATCCCCAGATCTCTCCACCGGTGCAGTTCCCCTTTCTCTCTCAACTACATTGTCTCTGTATACTGGCCAACAAAGACGACCAGGAGGATTCCGGCATCATGAGAAGTATCTTAGGGGAAACGAAGACGATTTCTACTCTTTTTGTTCCCCTCTACAACCTACAGGAAAATAGCTCTCGTGCCAAAGCTGCTCTATTCTGGCTCTGCGTCTTGCAGTGGGGTTTTGTCGTCCTGTGATGCGCTCTCGAAGCATCACCCCTCCGCACACACTGCACAGTGTGTGGGCTCCTTGATCTCCCCCCGTCTCCTGTGAGGAACAGTAACATTAACAAGAGTGAAGTGGGGATATTTTCTGGAAAAATGGAAATTGCAGCCAGAGAGTTGACCTTATCCAAACTGAAATTAGTGATTAGTAAAACACAGACCTGATGTGTGTTATATATATATATAATTTTTTTTTTTTAATGGGGACACTATTTTTTGTAAATAATTGATCATGACATTTACATTAAATTATGCATCCATTGTCTGTGTCATTTGCATATCCAGGTAAAGAAAACTGTCACACAGCATTATTTTTAGAAGCTCATTTAAATATTGAAATCACCCCCCCCCCCCCCCAGAAAAGGGTTGGGCAAAACAAATTGTCAAGAGATTATTTGTTCCACTCCTGCTCATTAATTCAAACCCTAATTTGAAATCAAATTGGTTTTATATAGACATATCTGTTCATGTTAAGGTGGTTTCACTGATTTAAACCATCATTGCATTCCAGCAGCGTCTCTTCACCACGTGCTTTACTCAAATATGTGTTCTAATTACATCTGCTTCATCATATTGATGAGGAGCACCATCTTCGTTGAGGCTGGATGACGCCCCCGCACTCTGCTGCCCCTCTGGACTTGAGCATGGAGAATCTTTGCTCAGAAGCGTGGGACTCAGTGTGCAGCAGCACGTGCGGCAAGGCGCTGGAACAGGGTGAGGTGGTGGTTGGGGCTACAATAAGGGGAGGGGAGGTGTCAGAGTGAGAGAGTGTGGGCGGAAATAGTTTCTGTTACTGCAACACACATGCACACAGTATTTGACAGTGGGGATGTCATACTATGCAGGCAGCCGCGTGCGCTCCTTTTACTCCACGGTTGCAAAAGGTGAACTGGAGTAGGAGAGAAAAAAGGGGGGGAATTCTTTAAAAGGGAGGCTCATTAAAATGCCATCCAGTAATGCTATACTGTATGTGGGGGGCTGATGGTTGCTCCTGATGCAAAGAGAAGACACCTGCAGGAGAAAGACAAACAGCAAGCCAATTAAACAAAAATGAAGCTCCATCTTGTCCCAGAGTAAGGCTTTGTCTGTGATGGATGTATTTCCATTATTATACCTTCACATGTGAGGGGGGCACCCTTTGAGCGCTGTCATGCAACTGCTTGTGCAGCTCTCTCCTGTCAGTGGAGAGGCCTTATCAGCACAGAGACACCAGTTGATCTCAGGCACAAGAGCAGCTTTTCGTACTCATCCCTTTAATTATTCTTTTCAGAATTAAAGGCCAGCTCCACAGACAATAATGTCCCTGAAAAAAAAAGCCATTCTAAAAATATAGCTTAGAGGGGATTTAGTGAAATGGATGAAGGTTTAATGTGTTCAAGTAGGAGGATTTTTCATGTGATGGATTTTACCCTTCCACCTGGAAAATGTTTTCTTTAACAAACGCGTATTTTCAACAGCTGTGACCACGCTCAGGCATGCCTCCACATGTTCTTGCATTCAGACACGCACAACCTGACAATTATTTTCACCTCTTTGTTGAATTTCTGTTTTCAAAGGGTCAGAAAATCTTAAGTCCATCAAAGCAGGCTATCAAGCTGCTGGTGGCCGCTAAAAAGTAACTAATATTACATAATTACAGAAGTCAATCCAGGTAAAACTCATAATTCTTTATTGACTTCATCAATCACTCATTGCTAATATTGATGAGTTTGTGCTCCTTGTGTATGAAAGTGTGGAAACAGGCTTCTGCTTCTCTTTTTTACTTTGGGGCCGTAACAGACAGCTGTTTTTGTTGTCTATTTCAATATGTTTATCGATTAAATGCTCATAAAATGTATGTACATTTTGAGAAATTACCATCGCAATATCTCATAATCTAACAAGGTGTCTACTGTACATATGTTTGCTTTGTACAACCAATAGTCATAAACCCAAGCATATTACATTTAGAAACATATTCAAACTGAAAAAAAGAACAATTCACATTTTTGCTTCATAAAGGACAATTTGCTGATTATCAAAATGGTTGTAAAGTAAATCCTGGCCTGATCAGTTGCGTCTGCCTACATGTTAAAGTGAAAGACCTTCAGCATTTTCCTTCCTTATAATATGTAAAGATGGATTTTTTTGAATTTTTGGGGGAATCTTTTTCTGTTTACTGTGTTCGAGACAAGTCAAGACATCTCAGCTCAGCAGATCTGCCCTTTGAAGATAATACCTTCTGTCAGGAGACCTAACAAGTGCAGGACTTGACTGTGAGACACGTTAGTATGAGAGAAAGCCTGCAGCACTCCTCCCTTTAGCTGGGACTGTGTGGATTTGAATTTGCTGCCAGTTCCAATTTCCACACTTGACTTCCCTCGAATTGGCAGGTCGGAGTTCATTTTAAACCTAGATGTATGCTTTAGCTTCTACATCTTCCTGTCTGACCTTTTGGATAAAGACGTGTCACTTGTATTTTGAACAACCTGCATTTATATTGAGTGGAGTGGAGCTTTAGAAAAAAGTTTGAGGAACTTGTTTTAAATAAATTACAAAACTAGAGAAACTCAGACTTTTAATAAGAATGCATTCATTCTGTATGAGCTCATTGCTTGCAGAGCAGTCTCATGTCTCGTAAAGGTCTTAAGCAAAGACAGGAGGAAGACTCACTGAGAAGAAGCTTTAGACAAACGGTGAAATGCCAACCTAGTGAAGCGAAGAGGAGGTGTTGACACTGCTGATAATGCCAGCTTCCTGTTACCACAGTCATCACTACTTAAACCTATTTGATACTGAACAGAATCTGGTATAACAGCTTTCAGATTTGTAAAAAGAATACATATAGAAAAGTTCAAAGCAGTTGGATCATTTTGTAAAGCTTGCGCAAGCAGCCGGCTAACTAAACTATAGCACAAAAGAAGGATATCACCTAAACGTACAATTTGTTCACTTGTGGAAAAGAACATTTATTCAGCTATGTACAATTTGAAAGTATTATTTACAATTCATGACACTTGAAATTGAAATGTTGCTACACTACATTGTAACAGCCATAGTGACATTGCAGATAAAGACATACTACGCATATTATCTTTAATTGTTATAATGCAATGTTAATGATCCAAAGGTATTTCGGCTTTTCCTCGACTCGCTAAATTACATTTATTCAGTAATGATAATCCAGTAATTTGCTGAAAAGAGGGCAAACCTCCATCAAAGCTGTTTTCATTACTGAAAACTAATGTGTGTATTCCCCCCCCATGATTTGGATCTGCTCATTAATGTAGTCAGGTATGATCCTTGGCCCATACCTTCCACAAGGTTTAAAAAATAATCTGGCCATTTAAAACAGGATAACAAAACAAAAAATGAAAACATAGCCTCCATGGTAGAGTAATGAAAGACTGAGTGCTGTATATGATTGTTATAAAAGCTTCTCTGATATGAGGCTGTTGCCCATGTCCTCCATCAGTATGCCTGGCTGCGCAGTGCACCACCAGAAACTCTTCTGAACACTCTGAGGTGCCTTTACTTTCACATTAGCTGTGGTGATGTGGAGCAAAGCCAGCAGCAGCGCCTGAGCTCAGCGTCAGGTATTTATAATCAGAAGAACACTTTTCAAAACAGGCACTGGGCTATGAAGTACAAGCTTATTTTCATGATGGATCCAGGAGGGGTTTGGCAGTGTGTCAACTGGCTCCAGGCTGCAAATAGGCAACTATCTCAAGAACAAAACAAAAGGCTTTAATATGACATGATGTTAGTGTTTCACAGCCGGGCCTCACAAATTGGTTTGAGTCTTTTCGGTAGTATATAGACCATACCACCATTTCAGATTTATCATATATAACTGTTGAAGCTTAGAGGAAAGACTGTATTTCTGACTAATGTAGAAAAAAAGGGCCTCAGCAGAAGGTTTTTTGCCAGATTACAATATAACAGATGGGTGTTTTTGTACATTCGGCCTTGAAGGTATCAATCAAAGCCATATAGCAACTCAAAATGAGTCTCTCTGTCTTTCATCTGTTTACTTCACAGATGAGTTCACAGTGTCATTTACAGCTGTTCTCTGAGCCGCTGCTGCATCCCGCTGAAAGCAAACACACTATGCAATGAATCGATCCTCTTGGTCAGATAATATACATATTGCATATGTTTTTTAATACAATTGACTTGATTAGATTTCCCTCAGTCTTTGAACTTTGTCTTAAATTGGACCCTAATAATAAACCTGCTCTGTTCTGGAGTGGTGTCATCTCTTCTAACTCTGGAATAAAGCAAATCTGTGTGTTTAATATTAAGCTATAAAAAAGTTCATCATTGTCACCATAATTCTGAAGCAGTGACAGTTTTATGTTAAAAGCAAAGCACAGTTTACTGGCACACTTTGGTGCACTCAAAAAAGATTAGATTTTTCGTGGATGTGTAAGGATGTGAACTTCGCAAACCCTCTACATATTTTCTCTATGATTTTTTGGGAATGCCTGGACAATATAGCAGTGAGAGGCAACAGCATAGTATGTCACTGAGAAGTAAATCAATGTGCAGGTGAATGTGAGAATAAAAGCCAAGTGCATTAAAGAGCAAAAGTCACTTGTCTGACCTCTCTGAGATAATAAGCATGATAACAAAATGCTTTGTTGTTACCTATGTGGCCCATACAAACATCTCTTACTTACTTACTTACATCTTAAATAACATTTATTTTTTAACATAAAAGAGTTATCGCCATCCATCTTTTATATTCATCTGAGCTCATCTACTGCTGTCTGTCAGTGTCTTAAACCAGTCCTGCCTCATTATCCAATGCTTTGGGTTGAAAAGTCAATATTCAATGATCTTATTCACTGCAAGGATTAATTTGCTTTCCTAATTTCATTTCACAGTAATTTAATAAACCCTCAGAAAAATTCCATTAGTGTTCCCTTCACCTTCGAGAGAAATTAGAAATTAGAAATGCTGATGTTTAAATAATTATCCTTTTATTTCCGGCTTATCATAGCCAGCATGAATAGAACGCAACAAGGGGATGACCGCAGATTTGGTAATCAGTGATTTCATTTGATATCATCACAATTACATGAATATGAGA